GAAAATATTGCTCATGCAACATGCGACATGCCACTCGCAGGCTTATAAGCACATATGCTTACTGCATTTTAAACTTGGTAAAGTCTCAGCGGGCCGCAATGCGGCGCACATATGGTGGGATGATTGCCGAAGGAAACTAATAAATGACTGAAAAGCGGCACACTTATGTGATGGCATGCGGCGCACTATGCGGCAGGCACTGAGCCATATGCGAGCAACATTGTGAAAATGTTGTGTTTTTGCAAATATCGATCAATTTTGAAGTTCATTTTCAATAAATAATTCCACTAGTTATCCGACTGAGTCGATTTAAAAAAAATTTATTGAATCAATCATTACAATTCTTTAAAAACTTTCAAAATATGCTCCTTCTGTGTGTGCATTAAAGGCTACACACAAGGCATTCTACGGAGTAGCCTTGAGAGCCGAAGTGTATGCTGCTTAGATCCTCTCTGATCGGCCTTTTCAGGCAAGGAATAAAAAAAAAAAACAAAGTCCGCGTGGCCACATGTGGGCTGTAGGGCGTCTGCGGAAGTGTTGGGATGACGGCCTTAGTTTGGTAGCTGGTCAAAAGAAAAAGGATGTGAGCCGAGGCGTTGTCGTGGTGCAATTTCCACTCGGCTGCGATGTCTTGTCGGACCCAATTGTCCCTTCGTTTGAGTCTCCTGAAGACTTCCAAGTAAAACTTGGCATTGACGATTTGTCCAGAAGGAACAGATTCATAGCGGAGGAACAAATTCATGCTGCTTGTCCTGACTCTCCAGGTGCTCAGAGACAACTGACCAGCCGCTCGTTTTATAGCGAGAAACGCACTCTACCGAATCCAGTCGGTGCGCACACGCTCTGAAGTACATTCGCAGCGGCAGAAATTCAGCCCTATTACTTTCCAGACAAATTCTATATTGAGAACATGCAATTCGACGAAGTTGAGCTACTACCAGGCTTCGGGACCAAAAAAACAGCAAGAAAGCACAATTACAGCTCTTTATGTAGACCATCCTCCAGGATCTCGAACTTACTAATACCCCCACATATGCTGTCCTCCAATATATTACGTATATACTCCATGTAATGTAGTAGCATGCCACACTTAATACGCATGTGTTGCAACATATGCATGCCGCCGCCTTAAGTGGTGTCAAACTTTATAAAAACATTCTCATATGAACTTGTTTGCGCGCGATACTTAAGCTTTCGCGTCGCGCTTGCCACTCGCTTTTGTTGTAATTATGTTGCGGCTTACCGCGACAATAACTTGGCTGTTTGTTGTTTTTCGCGGTATTCCATTATTTTCTTGTTACCTTGATTTATGACACATTACATTAATCGTCGCTGTCGTTAGCCAAAAACTCAATTTTCCCCGCCTCTGCCTCGTTTCTGTCTTTTTCGTGTGTATTTGTGTTGGCAGTGTTGCACTTTGACTCACCCTAATTGTCTTCTACCTGTTTGCTTGCGCCGAATTTGGCGTTGCCTTCGCGTTTTAGCAGCTCCTACTTGCCAAATATGCTTCCTACAACTTAATTGAATTTCCTAAATTTTCAAACTTTTGACAAGCAAATTTATGCCAATTACACCTTGAGCACATGCAGACATACTGACATTTGTAAGACATAATACTTTGAGGTTTGTGTTAAGAGAATATATTGACGAAAGATTCAATTAAAAAATGCTTTTTTGTTTTTCAAAATACTTATATTGCGAGTTTTGTAATTTGTCTTCTTAACTTTATTTATCTAATACCTGTACACACATTAACTACTGCAGCTCTTCTTCGAACACAAAATGTTGAAAAAATTATGTAAATTCTTCATTTTCTGAATGATCGAATGATCGAGACAACTTTTGTCGATATTTCCACCGGCTCACAAACAACACCAAACCGTTGTTTTTCTGAAGGAAATGGCAGCTCTTGAACCTCTTTAGATTGCTCCTTCTCTCAAATGAGGCAAATTTGTTTGTTTACATACAAAATTAACCAGAAATGGGCCACATCGCTGATCAAAATTTGGTTCGAAAACGTCAGATCTTCTTGGAACTTTTCAAGAGCCCATAGAGTGAAGAGATGCCGCTTGGGAAGGTCGAGTGGCCTCAGTTCTTGTACAAGCTGTATTTGGTACACTTTCAACTTAAGATCTTGTCGTAAAATGTGCTAAGACCTTCCCTACGTAAGTCCGAGTTGCTGCGCACGTTGCCGAATCGACTTTAGACGGTCTTCGTGTACACTAGGGTGGGTCGATTCCGGACTTTTTTCGATTTGGGATTTCTAATAGTGCGCAAAAGTTGCCTTAGTACTTCCTGATTCCAATGCAACTTTTTGTTTTGAGATCGGATTGCATCTTCAACCCCAACTCCGGCCTTGAAATTTCGGAAATTCTCCTAAAATCGTGAAATTGTCTACCTAGCGCCTGAAATACGCATCTCATGGAAAAATGTATAAAACAAAAGTTATTTGTCACGTCATTTRCTACCGAAATGGTATGTGATCATGGCCGTAGGACGAACCGTTCCCGAGATACGAGCGAAAATGCGGCGTGCCACAGCGCAAGGTGAAAATTGTTGCAGCTCTCAGCTAACCTGTATTGGTCACCCAGAAACCACGGGTGGAGTCTGAATCAGTGTGAAATTTATTGATAAAATCAAAGTTTGAACTAAACTTTGACTTAATTTGACAACAGGCAACTTTTCGCAATCAGGGAGCAGTTTACCTATGTCGCCAGAGAATGTATCTGGACTGTATGTGTTCGAAAAGAGCACGAAACGGAAGTTCGTTGAAATGTAGAAGACAAACAACGCACTGTAATGGCCTACCTATTCTTTCTTCCAGTTTCCGAATGAATCCACCTTTCCAACCTGTGTTCGTGTTGGTGCCATCAGCACCGACAGTTTCTAGATGTTCCACATCAACTGAATTGTCTTGTAAATGTTGCCTTATAGCTTGCGTCTCATCCTCAGCTGACCCGGAAGCAGAGGTGACGTGGCCAAAGTAATGACAACCAAGTTCTGGTATGAGAGAAATATGTTCCTCTTTGACAGTGTTGCGGTAGTACTTTTCACCTTCGCTGACTTATGTAAGTGCATTGTCTTTGCGGCCATCAAAATACAGCCCATATACAGAGTCAATACTTTCGGTGTTTTGGAACTTAACTCCAACACTTTGTTTTGTCCGACTAATCTTGCGTTTGTCAGTGACAAAGCTAGTCTGATTCTCTGTTATCAAACCTGCTTTTTTGGCATCCAGAAAAGCAGATGAAACAATCAAGGCCGCTGCTCTATCACTTACTCCAAATCTTTGGGCAGCTAAAGCAGTGTGTTCCAATACTAGTGTGTTTTGTTTGGTTTTAGAGGATGGAAGAGAAAATGCATCATCAGCATCGTTTTTGGAAGAATCCATGTGCGACGCACCTACATTGTTGTCGTCTGTATGAGAGTCTGGCTGATCTGAATGGTCACGTGTTCTAGCTGATACTATTCTGGTAAGTGTTGATGTTTAATGACGTTTTAAAAGCTTTTCTTTACGTTCAYTTTTCTTTGTAATCTTTTTTGTTTCAGGTAGATCAACACTTCCAATGCGACCAATTCTTCTGGTTATCCGGTCCAAGATGGAATGGTTGTTCATTGATAGGAACTTTCCTTTCCTTTGGACAAGAAGAAAAATAAACGCATTTACAAACAGCGATGTCGAAGCGCAAAACATATTCTTTGCAGGACGTGAATTTTCGTAATAAAGTTGAACTTACATTACATATATCGTATTTGGCAAAAAACTCAATTAAACTCATATCAGATTGTGCCGGCAATAAATTTGTGAGAAATTCAAGAATTGTCTGCCCACAATCTGGTTATTTAGGACGAATGATCCCTGTAGACCCCCTAAAACGGCCATTATTCCTTATTCCTTATTGAGCTTTGATACTGTCAAATGCATTCGTAGTGAACAGTTTCAATGTTAGGGTTCTTAGATACGTTCTCAAGAATAACAATCTCTACTCGGCATCTATCATTCACACGCATCATATCCAAAACGTTAAACCAAATGTGTTAAGTCGATCCATAATAGATGACGAGATCCTCTGCTATCTCACTGATGTCTACATGGCAATTTTACCTACACGACACTATTTCTTTAACTTTTTCGCTAAAAGCAAGCTTTTGGAAACTTCACGACCTTCACTGCTTCACTGAATACTTTGTGCCACACAAGTAACTACTTATGACAATGATTGAGTAGACTCTCCAAGCGATTTCTGGAAGACTTTCAATGATTCAATAGCCGTGATTATATTGGATACACAAAAGTTCAATTAAACACATTGTTACGTTGTGTTGCATTGTACAAATCGTCAGACAAAGCTTTTATAATATATCGTCGGCTAAAATGCAACAACAACGTCCACTGAAGAAACACGAAAATTACTGTCAAAAATAATAACCATTTTATAACCACAACTAAAGTTAGGTTTCAGTGTATAATAACCAATATATAACCGCTTTATAACCTAAACTCAAATTTTGTTTTTTGCAGCATCTCCCCAAATAAAATCGAAAATCGCTGTCAGATATAATAATCAATTAATATAACCATTTAATAACCACAACTAAAGTTAGGTTTCAGTGTCTAATATCCAATATATGATATATAAAATTTTGTTCCGATATGAGTGGTTTCGATTATATCCTTTTTCCTTCGCCTGTAAACTTATGAAAGGTGATGTTATTTAGCATTTTATGTGACGATATGTAGTTTCACTTTCATATAAATATGAAAGTCATGCTCTATTTGAAATGCAAGTCTGCCTTGCGGTTGGTTGTTGTTTTCATAATGTCATCCTACACTAGCGGTGGGCAGCCATCACCTTAGGAAAAGCCATAATGTGTTATATTAAATACGTAAATTAGTATAATTGCTAACCCACACACACATACACTGCCCAATTTTCAACCAATTAAGTAAATATGTAACGAATCCAGCTGATTTGCTCATTCTGCTCTGCTCATTTCAGATGCCACTAACAACAAAACACAGCACACGGCGAGTGCGTATTTAATAAACGCTGTGCAACGGTTCGGTGCGGTTGATTGCTGGTACGCGAACCACAACACACACACATACACACCCATCAATTGGGTGTTTTGCATACGCCAACGGCGTGTAAACATTTAAAACAAACACAAACACACAAGTAACGGAAAATGTTAGTTGTAACAGCGAGCCAACAGAAGAGTTGGCCCAGCAGTTGTACAGGTAGCGATGATAGTTGTTGTAGTAATGAAGTTGTGACGGGTAGCGAAGCAGATGACAACAACTATGGCAGCAGTTGTTGTTGTACACAAAAATGTTGCTATAAAGTGAGTAGTGGTGGGTGTGAGAGCAGTAGGGTCGGTGGTGCGCGCAGCAAAAGTCACGTGCCACGCGCCATTGCTGCTTCCTGGCTACACACATATCTGCTGCTCTTGATGCTCACCACCACACAGCTGTTGCACGCGGCGCACGGCTATTTGATAATCGTGCACGAGAACGTGCCGGCTGGCACGGTGGTCTTCAACGCGTCGGTCTACAAACTCGGCTCCGAACGCCATTACAAAATTAACGCACACAAATCGGCGCATTTCGTACATCACCTGGTGGCCGTCAACCACAAAGATGGCCAGATACAATTACGCAAGCAATTGAAATGTGATGGCATCTATTATCCGAATCTGTTCACCTTCTATGTGGACTCGACGTCGAATCGGCTGCGCAGCATCGACTACTACAGTCTGCCGGTGCGTATATTTGTGACGGGAAGTGACTGCAACGAGGATCGACGCATAGAGGAGGAGATGCATAGCCGGCACTATGAGGAGGAGGAGACGGGTTATTCGAAGCGACGCAGACGTTATATCGACACCATTGCACAGCCCGATCTACGCTACTTCGGCGCTTACTTGGCGCATACGAGTAACAGCGTCGAGCTGACGCCGCGCAGCACGGATGTGGATATGCTCAATCATAATAACAGTCGGCGTGAGTTCCGCGATGGCGACTTGATATTCGGCGATAATTTCGATAATGAGATGCGTCATCGTATACTTAGCCGTAAGCGACGCGCGAAGGAGCCGCTACAGTTGGAGCCGTCGCTGCATCGACGCATCTCGGATGCTAAGCAATGGATCTCGGAAACTTATGCCTCTTACGCCATACACACAACGGATAAATGGAATCAAATCTGCTTGCGGCGTTCGCAGTTTATTAACAATCTCAATGCTTTTTTGCCGAAATCGATTTGTCAGTATTGCAAGGTGAACTTTTTGGATGTGAATGATGAGCGCTTTGCGATCGAACATCAGAATCACGATTTGGTGGCCAGCCGTGATGTTTGCATACGCGAATCTATATGGAAGGTTAGCATCACCTTCAATATACGTTGCAATCGTAATGAGATCGTGGATTCGGATCATCGGCTGAAGATCGTCTATCATTATCAGGAGTTCAATGACACCGATATAGCGAAACGCGTGCGTCGTGAGCTGCGCAATCAGTCGCCATACTTCGAACAGGCGCTCTATGTCGCTTCTGTGTTGGAGGAGCAGCCGGCCGGTTCAGCGGTGACAACAGTGCGTGCACGCGATCCCGAAGACTCGCCAGTAGTATATTCAATGGTTTCGCTGTTGGACTCGCGTTCGCAGTCGCTCTTTAAAGTCGATTCGCGCACCGGTGTGGTTACAACGTCGGCGAGTTTGGATCGTGAACTAATGGATGTGCACTATTTTCGTGTAGTTGCTACAGATGATAGTTTTCCGCCGCGTTCCGGCACCACAACGTTGCAAGTGAATGTGCTGGATTGTAATGATCATAGTCCCACCTTCGAGGCTGAGCAATTCGAGGCCAGCATACGCGAAGGCGCCACAGTCGGTTCGACGGTGATCACTTTACGCGCCACAGATCAGGATATAGGCAAGAATGCAGAGATCGAATATGGCATTGAAAGTGTAACTGGTGAGTAAAAGCAAGTTTTCGAGAATTGGCTTTAACCTCCATATTAACCGAACTGTATTTGTATTATTATTCATATTTCATTTCTTTTAACAGATGGCACTGGCACCTTGCAAGATCAAGAGCTGCCAATTTTTCGTATTGATGCACGCTCAGGTGTGATATCGACACGTAGTACGTTGGATCGCGAAACTTCGGACAGTTATAATCTCATTGTGACCGCCTCGGATATGGCTTCGGCGCAGAGTGAGCGCAAAACCGCTACCGCAACAGTGATCGTGAAGATATTGGACGACAACGACAACTATCCGCAATTCAGTGAACGTACCTACACAGTGCAAGTACCCGAAGATCAGTGGGGTGATGATAACATAGTGGCACACATACGTGCCACCGACGCCGATCAGGGCAACAATGCGGCAATACGTTATGCGATCATTGGCGGTAATACGCAATCACAATTCTCCATCGATTCGATGAGTGGCGATGTGAGTCTCGTCAAACCGTTGGACTATGAGAGCGTACGCAGCTATCGTCTGGTTATACGCGCACAGGATGGTGGAAGTCCATCGCGCAGTAACACCACACAGCTGTTGGTGAATGTGATTGATACCAATGACAATGCGCCGCGTTTCTATACTTCACAGTTTCAGGAATCTGTGCTGGAGAATGTGCCGGTGGGTTACAATATCATTCGCGTACAGGCTTATGATGCGGATGAGGGTGCAAATGCCGAGATCGCTTATAGCATCTCGGAGCGTGATGATAATTTCCCGCTGGCTGTCGATTCACGAACCGGTTGGGTGCAAACGATCAAACCATTAGATCGCGAGGAACAAAGTCGTTACACATTCCAAGTTGTTGCCAAAGATGGCGGTGTGCCGCCGAAATCTGCAAGCTCCACGGTAGTAATAACAGTGCAGGATGTAAACGATAATGATCCCACTTTCAATCCGAAGTACTATGAGGCCAATGTGGGTGAGGATCAGCCGCCGGGTACGCCTGTGGTAACAGTCACCGCCACCGATCCGGATGAGGACTCACGTCTACATTACGAGCTCACTTCTGGCAATACGCGCGGTCGTTTCGCGATTACTTCACAGAATGGACGTGGTCTCATTACTATTGCACAATCCTTGGACTATAAACAGGAGAAACGTTTTGTGCTCACCGTAACAGCTACAGATTCGGGTGGTCGTTCGGATACCGCTACTGTGAATATTAATATTACGGACGCCAATAATTTCGCGCCCATTTTTGAAAATGCACCATACAGCGCTTCAGTTTTCGAGGACGCGCCCATTGGTACGACCGTCTTGGTTGTCTCGGCTACCGACAGCGATGTTGGCATCAATGCGCAGATCACATACTCGTTGAATGAGGAAAGCATAAATGGACTAGGCAGTCCGGATCCTTTTTCGATCAATCCACAAACTGGCGCAATTGTGACAAATGCGCTTTTGGATCGTGAAACTACTAGCGGTTATTTACTCACCGTCACCGCCAAGGATGGTGGCAATCCATCGCTTAGTGATACTACAGATGTGGAGATAAGCGTGACAGATGTGAATGACAATCCGCCCGTCTTCAAGAATCCACTCTATCAAGCATCTATACTGGAGGATGCGCTTGTCGGGACCTCCGTTATACAAGTATCTGCTACCGATCCAGATATTGGTTTGAATGGTCGTATAAAGTATTTGCTGAGCGATCGCGATGTCGAGAACGGTTCGTTTGTTATCGATCCTACATCAGGCACAATACGCACCAACAAGGGTTTGGATCGTGAGAGTGTGGCCACTTATCATCTCACCGCTATTGCTGTGGACAAAGGTTCACCGCCGCTATCAAGCACTGTTGAAGTTCAAATACGTTTGGAAGATGTTAATGATTCACCACCGACGTTTCCTTCGGACAAAATTACGCTTTATGTGCCGGAAAACTCTCCTGTTGGTTCGGTGGTTGGTGAAATACACGCCCACGATCCAGATGAGGGTGTCAATGCAGTGGTACACTACTCTATTATCGGTGGCGACGACTCAAACTCATTTTCGTTAGTTACACGGCCAGGCTCAGAGCGTGCGCAGTTGTTGACCATGACCGAGCTCGACTATGAATCCAATCGCAAGCGTTTCGAGTTGGTCATACGCGCCGCCAGTCCTCCGTTGCGTAACGATGCGCACGTGGAGATATTGGTTACCGATGTTAACGACAATGCACCAGTTTTACGCGACTTCCAGGTGATCTTCAACAATTTTCGCGATCACTTCCCTAGTGGTGAAATCGGCAGAATACCAGCATCGGACGCTGACGTCACCGACAAACTAACGTACCGCATACTCTCCGGCAACAATGCTAATCTTTTGCGTTTAAATACCACATCAGGCGGTTTAATCTTGAGCCCACAGTTGAATACGAATGTGCCGAAATTTGCAACTATGGAGGTCTCCGTCTCGGATGGCATCAATGAAGCCAAGGCAATTATGCAGCTTTCCGTGCGTTTGATCACCGAAGACATGCTATTCAATTCCGTTACAGTACGCCTTAATGAAATGACGGAGGAGGCTTTTCTATCGCCACTCTTAAACTTTTTTCTCGACGGTTTGGCTGCTATTATTCCATGTCCAAAGGAAAATATTTTCGTTTTCTCCATACAAGATGATACCGATGTGACAACGCGCATACTGAATGTGAGTTTTTCCGCAAAGCGTCCCGATGTCTCACACGAAGAATTCTACACACCACAGTATCTGCAAGAACGCGTCTATCTGAATCGCGCTATATTGGCACGTCTAGCCACAGTTGAAGTGCTGCCTTTCGATGACAATCTGTGTGTGCGCGAACCTTGTCTTAACTTCGAAGAGTGCCTCACAGTGCTGAAGTTCGGTAATGCCTCAGAGTTCATACACAGCGACACAGTGCTCTTCCGTCCCATTTATCCCGTGAACACCTTTGCATGCTCATGTCCCGAGGGCTTCACTGGCAGCAAAGAGCACTATCTCTGCGATACGGAAGTGGATCTTTGCTACTCAGACCCCTGTCGAAATGGCGGCACATGCGTACGACGCGAAGGCGGCTACACTTGCATGTGTTCACCAAAGCATACAGGCGTTAATTGTGAAACTGATATATCGACGCTGAAGCCTTGCATGTCCGAAGCCTGCGATGGTGGTTATTCCTGCATGAACTCATTCCTGAGCTCACAGCCACCACCTTACACGGCGACATGTGAGCTTCGTTCCCGTTCGTTCTCTAAGAACTCTTTCCTCACGTTCGAAAGTCTCAAACAGCGACACCGGTTCAATCTTAAGCTACGATTTGCAACAGTGCATGAAAATGGTTTGCTGCTTTACAATGGACGGTACAATGAATTGCACGACTTCATCGCGCTTGAAATACTTGAGGGTCATGTTAGCTTTTCATACTCACTGGGCGACAACAAGCAGAGTGTGTCAGTCGTACAACAGGCGAAGGTGTCGGATGGCGAATGGCATGATGTGGAGGTGATATACCTCAACCGGACTGTGACACTCGTACTCGATAAATGTGATACGGCGATAGCTTTGGCTGGTAATCTGGGCGATCGTTGGAGTTGTGCTAATCAGACGACACTCATACTCGACAAACGTTGTGCGCTACTCACCGAAACCTGTCACCGTTTCTTGGACTTGACCGGTCCACTACAACTTGGTGGTCTGCCACGTATACCCGCACACTTTCCGGTGGAGAATCAGGATTTCATTGGTTGCATTTCAGATTTACGCATTGATGAACGTTACATAGACCTGAACTCGTATGTTGCAGATAATGGCACTATCTCTGGTTGTCCACAGAAGGCACCACTCTGCTCTTCAGAGCCATGCTTTAATGGCGGTGTTTGTCGTGAAGGTTGGAATACCTATACCTGCGAGTGCCCGGAGGGTTATGCTGGTAATGCCTGTCAAGAGACTATACCAGCACCTTGGCGTTTCTCCGGAGATGGCAGCCTCAGTTTTAATCCATTATTGAGGCCTATACAACTGCCATGGGTCACGTCACTCTCAATGCGTACTTTACAATTGGATGCATTTCTGCTGCAAATCCAAATCGGGCAGAATAGTTCGGCAGTACTTTGTCTGAAGAATGGCATACTCTACTACATTTACGATAATGAGCCCATGTACTTGGCTGGTGCCTATCTTTCTGATGGCAACTGGCATCGCATCGAAGTGAAATGGCTTGGATCCGAGGTACAGTTTTCTGTAGATTACGGTCAACGCACAGGCGTCGTGCCAATGTCACAAAAGGTGCAAGGACTTTATGTTGGTAAGATTGTGATAGGCAGCGCAGACGGTTCGATTGGAGCAGTTGGTGATATGTTGCCCTTCGAAGGTTGCATACAAAATGTGCGCATTGGCGCCTCGCAGTCCGTATTATCGCGTCCAACTATACGTGAGAATGTTGAAGACGGCTGCTTGTCGCGCGCCGAATGCCCTGAAAGCTGTCCACCACACTCCACTTGCACAACGACTTGGGATCAATCGCAATGTGAATGCTTGCCTGGCTACGTAGGATCCGATTGCATACCTATCTGCACCGTGAAACCTTGCACAGCTGGCGTGTGCCGCGCGAATATCAGCGAACCACGTGGTTATATGTGTGAATGCAACAGTTCCTTGCAACATGGAGAATACTGCGAGAAGACCGTACAGCAGCCTTGTCCTGGTGGTTGGTGGGGTGAAAAGGTTTGTGGACCATGTAAATGTAATTTGAAACAAGGCTATCATCCAGATTGCAATAAGACCACCGGTCAGTGCTATTGCAAGACGAATCATTACCAACCGCCAAATGAGACTGCATGCATACCCTGCGATTGCTACTCAATTGGGTCCTTCAGTAGTGCATGCAATCGTCTGACTGGACAATGTGAATGCCGTGAAGGTGTTATTGGACGACGTTGTGACTCCTGCTCGAATCCGTATGCTGAGGTAACACTTAACGGCTGCGAGGTGGTCTATGACGCCTGTCCACGTTCATTCGCGGCCGGCATCTGGTGGCCACGCACACCGCTTGGCAGCACAACTATAGAGAATTGTCCCTCGCCGGCCAGAGGTAAAGGACAACGCACCTGCGATGGTATGTCAGGTGGCTGGAACCAACCGGATATGTTCAACTGCACATCCGATCCATTTGTTGAACTACGTAAACAACTTTCGCAACTGGAAAAGCTAGAGCTAGAGTTGAACTCATTCGTTGCCATCAAAATGGTGGAAAACTTGCAATTGGCCTGTGAAAGTGTTGATCGCTCGAGCGCGGTGAAGAAGAAGTTGGTGAAGGATAGTCGTCGGTACAAAATGGAATCCTCCTTCTTGATCAACGAAGGCAACAATATGTGGTCAAATGAGCTGGAGATGGACTATCTATCAGACGAGCTTAAATTTACACATGATCGGCTCTACGGCGCTGATCTGCTAGTTACCGAAGGCATACTGCAGGAGCTAATTAACTACGAACTAATGCAAAACGGTTTAAACCTGACGCATAGTCAAGATAAGTATTTTATTAAAAATCTAGTAGATGCCGCAAGCGTTATTTTGGATCGGAAATATGCTGCAGAATGGAAACGTGCCACGGAATTGATACAGCGTGGACCCGACGATCTTGTGGACGCATTCAACAAGTATATGGTAGTCTTATCTAGCTCACAACATGATACGTACACGAATCCATTTGAGATTGTGCAACGGAATATGATATTCGCTTTGGATATTATCACTACAGAATCACTTTTCGGCTACGAACCCGAACAGCTCAGCGAATACCACAAAACTAAGCTGAATCTCAAACCCAATGCGTACACTACAGAAAGTGTAATACTACCAGATACTAGTGGTTTCCTGCAGCACTCCTCGAAGCAGAAACCCGTTATTACTTTCCCCAAATACAATAATTACATACAAGATAAAACGAAGTTCGATAAGTATACGAAAGTTTTGGTGCCACTGGACATGTTGGGTATTACGCCACCCGGCAGCAATGAAGTAACTCAGAACGCCAACGACTATCGCGCCATTATCTCATACGCACAGTATAAGGATGTAGGGCAACTTTTACCCGATATGTACGATGAGACGATCACACGTCGTTGGGGTGTCGATATTGAAGTCGCTTCGCCTATACTGTCACTCGCCATTTTAGTGCCATCCAGCGACACCGAGGAGAAACGTATAGAGATACCTTACCGTAAAATTTCTTCACAAAAAACAGATTCCAATGAACAGCAATTCATCGAGGTATTCGACGTGCCGAAAACGAGCAGTAGTGGCAGCGAGGAGCACATGATTGAGAATATACGCATTACGGCGCACGAAATCATGCCTCCATCGACAAGCAACTCACAAGAAACGTCTGCCGAAGTGTCAAGCAACGAAGCGGTGGAATTAAGTGATGGTGGTGAAGAACCACACATTAGTGTACGCTTCGACGATGAAAATATCGAGTTCCATGGTGATACTGGTGAAGAGGTCGTAGATTCACCAGAAGTAGGGAGTCCACACTTCGATGTAGGTTCCAGTGAACAGCAAAAGGGTGAGAATGAAGCTATCTACCGTAATCGCAGACTCGTCAAACGTCAAGTGGAAGTTATCTACCCATCCGAACAACAACAAACGCAACAAAATGTGATCTATCGTTCGCTTGGCTCACCACATCTGTCACAACCCATAAAATTGCAAATGTGGCTAGATGTGGAGCCAGCGCGTTTCGGACCACGCTCCAATCCACAGTGCGTGCGTTGGAACTCATTCACCAGCCAATGGACACGTCTCGGCTGCCAAACGGAAGTGCCCGACTTCGATGAGTTGCCACTGGATGGTCAACCGATTATTGTGAACTGTACCTGCACACACGTCTCCAACTATGCGGTGATTGTGGATATTATCGATCCCGAAGATATACCTGAGCCTTCATTATTGGTACAAATTACGTCGTATTCAGCATTTATGGTCTCGCTGCCAGTGCTGCTGAGCGTGCTCATCGCTTTGGCACTGCTGCGGGGTCAACAAACCAATTCCAACACCATACATCAGAATATAGTGCTGTGCGTTTTCTGCGCCGAGCTGTTATTCTTCGTAGGCATGCAGTCACGTCGCAATCTGCTCGAGAATGAATTCCCCTGCAAGCTTATTGCGATTTGCTTGCATTACTTCTGGCTGGCGGCATTCGCTTGGACTACGGTCGATTGTGTGCATCTGTATCGCATGCTCACCGAGATGCGTGACATCAACCATGGCCCGATGGGCTTCTACTTTGCCATGGGCTATGGTGCACCGGCCATTGTGGTCGGTTTATCAGTGGGCGTGCGGGCGCATGAATATGGCAATAGTTTGTTGTGAGTATTTTCCGACCAAATTGGCAATTGAACTTTGAATTGTTTTGCATAATTAATTCGTATTTATTTATTGCACAGCTGTTGGCTCTCTGTTTACGAACCGGTTGTTTGGTGGTTGGTCGGTCCCATTGCGGGCATGTCGGTGGTGAATCTGCTCATACTGTTTGTTTCCGTGAAAGCCGCCTTTACGCTCAAAGATCACGTACTCGGTTTTGGCAATCTACGCACGTTGCTTTGGTTATCCGTCGTCTCGTTGCCGCTGATGGGCGTCATGTGGGTCTTGGCCGTTTTAGCTGCTTCCGAGAATTCACAAATGTTAAGCATTCTGCTGTCGGGCGTAGTGGTGCTACATTCCATATTCTGTCTCATTGGCTACTGCATTATCAACAAAAGGGTGAGAGAGAATCTGCAGCGCACTTTCTTGCGATGTATGGGACGGAAAGTGCCACTCTTAGACTCTTCACTAGTGGTAAGCAATAGCTCGCATAATGTAAACGGTACAACGAGGCCCAATAATTTCCTCGCGGGCAGCTATGATACAGCGAGGAGGAATGTGGGTATCAGCGTCTCGAGCACGACTTCACGAAGCACGGCTAAAACTAGTTCCAGTCCATATAGGTGAGTTGTAGAAATTTATGTCGAAGATATATCCTAACCTTATTAAAATAGTAACCCAAATGAAAAATAAACAGTGTCTACCTTACCTTAAACTCCGTTTTATTAGATAAACTAAACTCTTATAGTAATTATTTTGTATTTGTTCTTTAATTTTTCCCTTACAGCGACGGCCAGCTGCGTCAGACCTCTACGTCTACATCCAACTATAATTCAGCCAGCGATGCACCCAGTTTTTTGCGTGGGTTCGACTCATCTACCGGCGGCGGTGGTGGCGGTGGACGCAGGGAAGAGAAATCACGTCGCCATCGCAAGGATTCCGACTCTGGTTCCGAAACAGATGGGCGTTCGTTAGAGCTCGCCTCGAGTCATTCAAGTGATGATGATGAATCCCGTACTGCACGCTCCTCGGGTACTCATCGAAGTACCGGTGTTAGCGCTACACCTTCTTACCTTCCTAACATTACCGAACATGTGCAGGCGACAACGCCACCCGAACTAAATGTTGTGCAAAGTCCGCAACTCTTCCCCAGTGTTAATAAGCCTGTGTACGCGCCGCGTTGGTCAAGCCAACTGCCGGATGCCTACCTACAGTCACCGCCAAATGTGGGCCGTTGGTCGCAAGAAACCGCGTCGGACAATGAACATGTGCATGGTCAAAAAGTGACCATATCACCAAACCCACTGCCTAATCCAGATCTCACCGACACCTCGTACCTACAACAGCATCACAACAAAATTAATATGCCACCATCGATATTGGAAAATCTGCAGAATGTACGTAACGATAACGGTTATGACACGCTCGAACACGAAAACCTTTATCGACGCAAGGAGTATCAGGACAGCTATGGACAGTTCGACACCTTGCCCGTGGCAGGCAACTACAAACCACCGAGTCATTACGGTAGCGAAAAGGACTATAACGGCAGTGCTAACGGTAGCACCAGTGGTGGTGGCGGCAATGGTGGCACTCAAATCGTTAATCACATGCGTTCCTTCCACCCTGACGCGGCTTACCTCAGCGACAGCATATACGATAAACAACGCACACTCGGCTATATGGGTCCCAAAGCGGAGTCACCGTATATGTCCAAAGAGCGTATTGCGCCCGATTTATATGGCTCCCGCGAGAATCACTATAGTCTTAAGAAACCGCATATGTATGTTGGTACCGCCGATTCCATGCATTCGGTGCATTCGTTGTTGAAGAACGACTACCAGGCGCAACAACAGCGCCAGCAAAATTTTCAGCAGCAACAACAGTTGCAACACCAACATCAACAGCCGACAGTAGCGGACTATCACTCCGATCGCATGTCGGAGGGTTCCGACAAAAACGGTTATCATTTTCCATACACAGCCGAAGAGGATCACATACCCGCCGCGCGTAAACTCAGCCACCAACATAATCCATCACCCTCGCTACACAGTTCGCATCAGATGCTCAATGGGCATGGGCACGCGCATGCGGTGAACGACATCAACAATCCCGGTATGCTGGGGCGACACACACTGAACTCAAGCTCGCGGCATGGTTCGCGCGCCAGTTCGCCGCCCTCAAGCATTGTGGCGCCCATGCAGCCCTTGGCGCCGCTCACCAGCATAACGGATACAGAGTGAGTAATCATATTTGCGTTCATATTGCCTTATGAAGAGACACTTTAGTTACTCGTTACTAGTTACTGGTTACTCGGTGTTACAGTTATTGTAGTATTTGGCATTTTCTTGGGCACCTTTTTTATTTAAATTTTTTTTTTTGTAATTTTGCACGGGCAAGTGAAACGATTTTCGAAAATGGTGAATAATTGGAAGATGGCTAATTTCTGAGCATTAAATTAAGAAACAAAATAAAAAGGAACTTAAATAAATATGTATACAGAGCACAGAAAAATGTTTCTACAATTTAAGACATCACATTTAGCATAAAAGGAAATTTTTGTAATCACTACTGATTGGCCTGAAAATACATTACCCTTGAAAGAGTTGGTTCTAATTATTATAAGAATAAATAGCAAGTTCCCTTTAAGCTGTTATTTTATTTTATCAATCCCTTTTTTAAGGCATAAATATCCCATAAAGGATTTGACTATTTTTATAAGCCTTTGCAAAGGTTTCGTGATTAACAACAGAATCTCAATCTCTCGCCTCTAAATCGTAAATCTTGAATCGTACACGTGTAAATCTGTATTTTCTGACAGTTCAGCAACGGTATCACCTATCCACTCCACTATGCCCTATGTTAACCGTCTGAAAGCAGATCCAGTTCGGACTTTATCTTCAAATTGTGATCTGGCAAAATTGTAAATCAGATATCTATAGCGCTTTTCTTCGACTAACATAGAGTTTGAAGCAATAATTTCTACAAAACTGATGTTCCTCTTAATTATCGCAAGCAAAATAGGTTCCTGAGACAACACTTAATCCAAATTTCCATACACTTGTTAGAATGTGCGGCTGTCCGCTAATTTTCGGAGCGCCATTCGCTAGATTGTTGAACAGTTTCGACGTTACATTCATGAACTCACGTCTTATCATTAGTATTTATACGTTTAATTAAAGTGAAGCCTTCTATTATAACATCAAGCAACTTTTCTACGAATTTAATTAATGTGAGTGACACATACCAATATCTGAATCACTTTTGGATCGTCGTTAGCAGAGGTGGATGGACGACTTGTATAAGGCAAGTTTTCTCTGATTTCATGCTTGGATGCTTTGATCCACTCAATTACTTGTGTTCGCGATAGGATAGACTCTATAAACCGAACACACCTGAAATGACAGTCTTTAGAAAAAAAAAAAAATTGATGGTAATATTAGATTTGTTAAACAAGTTGGCTATCTTATAGAGCGTTATTTTGGTGCTATCTTCTATTGCTACTGTATCAAATCAATTTTCGTTCGGTATGTTGGTTCCTGTGGCAATAAGTAAAGTAAATGTTCACGCCCCAGCTTACATTCAAAGTATGGAAGCGATTCTCTATTTCTTTAGCGTACACGCCTGGAGTTTGTTCGTAGTCACTCTGAGTCCGGAAACATTCAGGTTCTTTGATACCCAGTAATCGAGTCAAATCTCTCCGTAAATCTCGGACAACAGCGTAGCGTGCAACTGATTTAATGCGCGGTTGCTAAACTAAATAAATAAGCTTTCAATTATGTAAAACTTTAGGAAACTACCGTTCAAAAAGCCGTTAAGACATTGAAATCAACTTAATTGACTGCTAATTTTTTAATATATATATTTTTTTAAAAACCCTCTACGCCACCAAATGCCTGCGAGAAAAATCGTTTCACTTCCTGCGCTTCGCAGCAAAATTTCACGCTTTAAAATTATATTACAAAAACTATTTTACAACAAAAACATTTATCATATCAATAATATTTACTATCGGTGTCTATTTAAGTAATGAAATATTTATTAAAGAATTAATTCCATCATAAAATATGCATATACATATATAAATAAAAAACAACAAGTCCTTCTCAATTAAACTCCTTTAATTAATACAAAAACTTCTCATTCTATTTTTTCTCCTTTTTCCACTAAAAAATCACACACACTCATACAAACAACCCTACAACTACCATAAATGACATGAAAAACGCACAAATTACAACAACAACTACTACAAATCACATGAAAAATGCACAAATTACAACAAAAACTACAAAAAATAATAATTGTTGAAAAAAAATATATTAAAATAAATCTTACAAAAAAAATTTACAAAAAAAAATTTACAAAAAAAATTATAAAACTTATGTTTGCTTTAAAACTTAAACCTGACACACACACTACATGCACACACACACACGTACATATCCATCAATATTTATTTACTCACGCTCATTACAAAAATGCATTTGCAATTCACGGCCATACGCTTTGTAATCCCCAACAACCCATTTGACCCCCAAAACAACAATAAAAACAACCGCAATCCCCATGTTTGTAATTATGCTACCAAAAATAAAAACAACAAATTTAAATAAAATTACATACTTAATTTGAAAAATTTGCACGACAATATTAAATGACCGCAGGTGGTCATGGGAACGCCTAAAGAAAATCTAATTACAATTTTCTGTATTTTCCGCACGCAAATAAACGCAAATTCGGCGCAACGCAAACGTATTGCAAATGGCAACGCTGCGACGGCAATAAATTGAAATTAAATGCAAATTTAACAAAACTGACAAAAAAATGGTTAATGGCAATGCGTTAACACTAACAAATGACGTACCAAATAAAATCATTGATACGAAATCCCACGGAATGTTGCTGGGGATCATATAATAAATACCAAAAATAATATGAAAACAAATTTCAAAAAAA